TACGGAGGGGTTTTTAAAGAGGGGCCTGAGGGAAAGGAATGTGGGAAATGAAAAGCAGGAGGGAGGGGACTGCGATCTGTGGTGGCTCCGTGCAAAAAGCCAGGTGCAAGGTCTCTTCAAGGCTACGTCTGGCTTCTGCTCCTGTCCTTGCTGTTATCTGAGGGTCCTCCTGGAGTGGTGGAATCAGTACAGCTTTACTGATGTCTTCCTTGGTCTCCCACGGTCTGGATACTACATGCAAGTCTGCAAGTTTCCAGGTTCTGGCTGGCTGGAAAACAACTTTACATTTATGTAAATAATGTCATCTTGCCCCGTAATCAAGGTTAGAAATATCAAATAACTGTGGGAAAAGAGGAAACTCAGAGAAACGCATGCCAAGAAAAAACCTGTGTCCTTTTAAAATGTTTTAGAGCCCATGCAGTTTTAGGTCCCAATGTGGCTTTAGTCCTGCTCACTCCAACATTGGCACCTCTTCTTATCAATTTTTCTAGTGTTTCTGAGCTACTTTAAAAAAAAAAAGTTTTTTTTTTGTTGTGGTAAAATACATATAACTTAAAAGTTACCATCTTAACCACGTTCAAGTGTACAGTTCGGTGATATTAAACACATTCACAATGCTGTGCAAGCATCACCACCACCCATCTCCATAACTCTTTTTGTCTTGTAAAACTGAAACTCTGTACCTGTTAAACAACTGCTTAGGGACTTTGTTTTGTTCATTGTTGTATTCCTGTTCCTGAGAAGTGTGTACAGCTAGGACACAGCAGGGGTTCAACAAATATTATATGAACGATTAAATAAATGATTCCTAAATCTATAGCCTTAGCTTTGACATCTCTCCTGAGTTCCAGATCTATATGTCCCATGCCGACTATCCATTTACCACATACTCAGAGGATGCTTTGAACTCCAGATTTCCGTTTCCTCTGACCAGCCGGCCTCCTTCCCCAGCTGAGTCTGCTTCAGTTCTTGTGACTGCCTCTTGGTTAAGGTCCTGCCTTTGTCTCTCAAGTCTTCAACCCCGAGGTTACATTGTTACTACATCCTGTTTTCCTGGCTTCTGAGAAAAGAGCATAAGGAAAAGCTGGGAGAACCAGGGATTTTCAATGAAGTCTTACTCAAAGGATTCAGACGTGAAGGATTTGTCCTGGGGTACGTGTGCTGTGACACTATAGCAAGGGCTGAGTGTTCAGTTCTTGATGACTGAGCGTGGTGCTTGGACCAGAGACAGAGGTCACTTGATAGATGAGAGACAGCTCACATTCTTTCCATTTGTTGATATTCTAATGCATTTGCTTGTCCAGTCTTACCTGATTAAAGAAGTAAATATTTGTCCAATAGGGATTTCTGGCCTGATTTTTAAACTGAGTTACCATATTCTCTTCTAATTCACAAAACATGCTTACCTCTTGCAAGTAGGAAAAGGCATGCATGACTTAACATCAATCTCCTCTTAAACTGTGGTAAGAAAGAGGGATGGAACATCTGTAAGGATGTTCTGTGTGTTTATTACTGGTGATGAATTCTGAGTAATAGTATTGGGGGGGGTGGTAATTTAATTAATGCCATTTTTTTGTCAACTCTAAAATTTAATTTTATTCTATGCAAGCGATTTAAAATAAGAAGCACACAAGTTTACTTGTTCACGATGTAGCTTTCAAGTTGCTTTAATAGATGTTGCCTTTTTTTTTTTTTTTTTTTTGCAATGTGCACTTTTTTTTTTTTTCTCATTCATACCTATGAGAAATAAACCAAAGGAAGGGCCTGGTATTCACTGAGGCTTTATCAAGCCCCACACAGTTTGCTTTTAAGGACCTTGCAGTTGTGATGGGGAGACACAGGCTACCAACAACATAATATTGCTCAAATAAGTTACATAGATTTTTTAAATGGCATAGGAAGTATTTTTGTGCACTGCCGTCTATTATTTTGCTGCTGGATTTCCTTCCTCCAGTAAACCGAATCATTGTTCCTACTTCTGTGCCTTAAAAACTAGCGAAACGAACGGGAAGACACCGTTTTGCAACCACCACGTTCCCCTCTCATCCCTGAGAGGCCATGATGAATGTTATTTGGAGATGCTTCTCCCATCGAGTAAAGTCGTTAGAGTTGAAGGCGACGTAGGCCCTAGAAACGTGTAGTTCTGCATTTTAAGGCACTGTCGAACTCTACCAGGGAAAACGCATCTCCTCTCCAGATGAACATTCCGCAAATACCGATGCTATTATCTGTTTGAAGTCTGGGCAGAGCGGGGGCGGGGCTAGGCGGACGGGGCGGGGCCG